CCCCCAGCCTCCCAGCATCACTGGCTCTGCCGCACCGGCACCCCAGCACCGGCCCTCTGGGGCAGAGGCTGGGGCTGCAAGGGGGAGGCAGCAGGCTGTGTCACCCCCAGGAAATGGGGACTCAGTGTCCCCGGGGTACAGAGGCCAGGAGGGAAGGTGCAGACCAGCATCAAAACAAGCAGCTCCCACTGAGCATCCACCCCTGCTGCCAGGTGCCCCCATGCTGGTTGGTCTCTGGGGGGTCACTCAGCCCGACCACCCCTGTGGCTATTCCCCCTCAGCCCCGGCCCCCTTCCCGGCACCAGCCAGGCCCACAGCATCCTTGAGGGGTCCCTGCTGCTCCCAGGGCACGGTGGACACCCACAGCAGACCTGGAGCATCCCTGGCCTGTGGAAGTGCGTCTGCTTCCTCCTCTCCCTCCTTTGCCTCCAGAGCTGGCAGACCACCCCCCGGGTCATCCTCCCCCTGGCTTCCGCCTGCCTGGCTGGCTCTGTCTGTCCATCCCGGTGCACCCGTGGGCTGGCCTTCCCTCCCCGGTGTGAGTGGGGATGGGGACCCCGGGAGGGGGCACTCCAATCCCTCAGCCCTGGGGGTCCCGTGGCATCACAGCCCAGCCTTGGCCCTGCTGCAAGGGAGGGTGCAGGGGACACCCCTGCTGCCGGAGCCGTCCTGCCTACTGGGTACTGCCTGGACACCTGGCGAGGGCTGGCAGCGGCCATCCGGAGTGCCCTGCTGAGATGCCCAGGCAGCGGGCACCTCCCTCGCCCTGCCCCACACTGCTGGGCCAGCTCCCCCCTGCCTGCCCCACACCGTGGGTCAGGGAGCACCCAGCACTGGTGTAGTGGGTTGCGGGTGCCCTTCTCCCTCCCAAAACTTGCAGCCACCATGCCAGGACCTGGTGCCCTGCAAAGTGCCCTGCAGGCTGGTGCGGCCAGTGAGAGGTACAGCTGAGAGAGGTGCTCTCCCACCCTGGGGGATGGCGTGAGGGGGACGGAGGAGCGGGGCTCCGACCATGGGGCACAAGGATGGCAGTGAGCACCCAAGGGGCTGCCAGGGTGAGCTCTGCCACTGCCCATCCCTAGGGATGGAGATGCAGGGATGGATGCCCACAGGGACATGCCAGGGCCCCTCCTCACCTCTGTTTGAGCTTCTGCAGGTCATCAAGCAGGTTGTCACGCTCGACTTCAACACGAGCCCGCTGGCTGGTGAGCAGGTCCACCTGGCGCCGGAGCTCCCGCAGCTCCTCCTCGTACATCTCAGCCACGCGGGTGGGCTCCTTGCCCCTCAGGCGGTTCACCTCGGCCACCATGAGGGCATTCTGCTGCTCCAAGAAGCGCACCTTCTCGATGTAGTTGGCGAAGCGGTCATTGAGCTCCTGCAGCTCCACCTTCTCGTTAGTGCGGGTCTGGAGGAACTCCTGGTTCATGGCGTCGGCCAGGCTGAAGTCCAGCAGCTCACCGGCACCTTGGTAGGCACTTTGGTAGGAGCGCAGGGGGGTCACGCGGGTGGCATGGAAGCTGGACAGGCTGGGGAGAGCCGAGGTGCGGGACACCTGGTAGACACGGGAGGGGACAGAGCTGCCGCTGCTGCCCCTGCCCCCGCAGGAG